TTGGACTATATAATGTATTTTTAAGTGCTTTGATCAACATATTGCTATCTAAGTAACTAAGATTTTTTTTTACCTAATTTCTAAATAAACTTAAGTAGCTTTTGCTTGTATAATTTATTTATCTTAAATATAAGCTTAAATTAATAATTAACTAATATCTACTAATAGTATTATTTTAGATCTTTCTAAAAAAAATATATTATATGCATTCTTTTGTTGTTGTTTTAATTACATAACAAATTCTTAACTTAAATTTTTGTTTACTTGCCCAAAAGTGAATATAACTTATTGTTTGTTTATTTTATTATTTATGTGTTTTTGTGCAATCTAAATTGATCAGCAGTATAGAAACTTTAACAAATTCTAAAAAGTTTTTAAAAAAGAAACTAAAATATTCTTTTGTACTTTAACTTTAAACTAAATGAATGAATGCTTTTAGCAAACTTTATGTTATTTTTTGTCTTCTTTCTTTTTCTTTAAGATATAAAACAGGTTTTCTAAAATAGTTTTTATGCACTACTACTAATTTTGTCTTAACTATTTATGAAAAAAGGATTAGCAAAAAAAGTGCTGATAATTGAGATTGACTTTTTTTTTTAAATTTTGTAATATGTTTTTATAATTAATAAAATAATAATTTGTAAAAATAATAATAAGTAATAAATAAGTAATGTTTATAAAAGTAATAATAAATTTTAGAAATTTGGATCCTATAGCTTAGTAAGTAAGCTTTTAAACTCTTCACAAATAAGCTTAACAGTTTGAGTCAGACTGAAGACAATTTTGTCTCTGTAATCTATTAGAGCCATTAATCAGATCTAAAGCCTTATACAAAAGTCCAAGTGCAGGTACATATTTGGATAAAGAAATTTTTAAAAAAAAACTTCATCATAGGGTGCAGACATTATATATAACAAGTGATTGTTACAAAAAGTCACATTTATAGAAAATTTGTGCATATAAGTTCTTTAGACTAAAGCAGTACTAACATCTTTATACCTTCTAATATAGGCAGTATCAACATCCTTGCATCTAACTTGTAGAGTATTTGCTTGGAAAAATAATCAACAAGTTGTATAAATAAGTTCTAATTAAGATCCAAAAAAAGGATTTGATTAGAAGAGTAGTCTAAAATAACTAAGACTGAAATAGTAAAAGAAGTGATAAATATAAGAATAATCTATAATAAAGAATTAGCTTAACCAAAAATTAGAAACACTTTTGATACAACTAAATAATCTAAATATAAGAAAGAAAATCTTAAAGAATAGCATATAACTTTCTTGTATAGTATAAAAACACCAAATCAGGTTTTGGTTATATCTATATAGAAGTCTATACCAAACAAAACTGAGATTAATCAACTAATATGAAATAAGATCTGCAAAGTAGTATAGCATTATAGAGGTTGGTATAACTTCTTAGGCATAACTAGAATTGTCTTGCAAATATTATTAAATAAGCTAAAAGTTTGCAATATATAATAGTATAATATTATTAAGATCAGAGAAACTCTCTAGATATAATCAGAATTGTCCTGTTTGTAAGTGCATCAAAACCTAGTTTTTATTATAAAAGAAAGCATCTTGTTAAAGATTAAATGCAACATCAAGTTACTGTATAACATTAAAACTTAAGGCATCTGTAAGAACAGTAATAGCATACATAGTTTAAGATACAGATTGGTCAAAAAGACTAATAGCAATAGTAAGTCTAGCTTGAAATATGAGTTTATTGTAAATTCTAAACTATTGTCAAAACATCTTAGAGAAATCAATAATAGGCATATCAAAGATAAGAAATCAAAAAAATTAGACATATCTAAGTAGAACTAATTTGAAAATAGTACAATGACAAAAAGGTAAGAAATGTAAAGAACAAGATATTACTAAATATAGTTAGATTAGGAAGTAGAAGAAACAAGACCAAGTAAAACTTATAAGTAAAATATATAGATATAATTACAGAAGACAGTATTCTTGGTATTTAAAATATTGCATTAAGTTTAGTAAATATTCTTGTTTATATAATAATTTAATAATATGTTCTGACTGCAAGTAATTGTTAAGATAACTGCATATAGGCATATAATGAACATGCACTTATATGTTATATAAGTAACTAATATAAAATTAAATAGCAAATATAATACTAGCAATAATTGATTCTTAATATGTAACTGTAAAATTTGTATTATATTAAATTAACTCTAATAAATTAACTAACAATATCATCAAAGTTTAAAAAAAACAACAATAATAATAAATTTTTATATATAAAATATAATAATAAATATATATAACTACTAATAATGTAAGTGTAATAATCTAATGAAGTAGTCAGGTTGTTAATCCTTCAATTGGTAGGTTGGGTGTTCAAATTTTATTGATAGTAAAAATTTGAATAATTATTTATATAATATTTGTATTATAGTAACTATTACTAATGATTAAGTTAGAATACCTGTAATAGCAATCATATTAACATAACTAGCAGATTATAGAACATCTGTATAACTAGTTATACAGAGAAATGCAAACTGGCAAATCAGGTAGTGCAAATACTAGATAAGTCCTTGTGGCCATGTAAATCTGTTAAAGTTGAATAACAAGAAGTTTATTTGAGAAGACTTAAATAAAAAGATAATTAAATCTTTAATAGCTTTACTATAAAGACTAGACTAGAGAAATAGATATCTAGGTTGTAGTACCTAGTTATAGTACTCAGATAGGCAAGAAACTTTAGGTTAGGAGTCTTAGAGGTATCACCAACTAGACTGCCAAAACAAATTAGAAAAAAAGAATATTGGGCTGATTAATATACTGATAAACTGGTTATAGTCTTATATAAGCTATCTGGATTGAGAGTTTGAACAAAAGACTAAACAAAAAACAGAAGTATACTAAAGTATTAGGATTATGCTATAAAGTAAATACTAGAGTCTATGTAAATTCTATAAAGACACAGCAGTTTAATAATTAGCTCTGACTGCAAATGTTAGTTCTAGCATAGCAATATTAGGTCAGCTGTAAAAATGGATACAGAAGGTTTCAGAAGGTTTACTTCAAGAATAAAATAGTTTTAAGATTAAAACAATAATCTAAATATTGAGTATGACCTAGTAAAGTTAACAGATTTGCAAGTTCAGAAAGTTTAAAGTAGAATATTCAAACAGAGATATTAGGTATAAAAATTAGTAAAAAACCTTTAAGTAAACTTCTTAAATAAGTAATATAGAAAAGTTATATATGTAACCAATTGTACACTTTTTTTGTAATAGTTCATTAAACCATATTTAATATTATTAAATAAAAATCAAAAGACCAAAAAGATCATCTTAATACAAAAAAAAAAAATCTACTAATAATATAATATATTATACTATACTAAAATTCTATTTTGTAACAATAATTATAGTTTGAGTTTTTTGTTAATTGGCAAAATGTTATATATAAAAATATTAATTTTAGATGATTAAAAATAAAAAAAAATTAGAAGATATAATTTGTTTGATAAAATTATATATTACTAGTAGATAAATTAAACAAGTTTCTCTACATTTAGTAGAGCATTCTTAGAAGAGAATAATGTAAATGAATGAGTGATTAAGTTTATTTATACAGAAAACCAAGTTAATGATAACCAAACTCAATATACAGAGCAGGATATAACACTCTTCACAGCTATAAGAACCAAACATATAGTGAGCAAATCTACAAAAGAACTTTTTATTTCTTTAAACTTCATTTTATCATCTTACACTAAAAAAGTATTACAAAACCAATCTTATAACACATTATATGAACTGACTTATGTTATAATCAATAATTAGTATGTTTAAACTTATCTCTACTTTCACATTCTCAAATACTTAGCTTCTTCTTAGAACATATTTACTATTATAATTATTTACAACTTAACAATTTTAAATATGAACTTACAATATTAATCAAACTTGACTACAATGAATGCTATATAAAATTAGTTTAAATTATTTTTAAATTTTGACCTGGATTTAAAATCAACAGCCATCATAATGCCGGCTGATATTAATTCGGTCAGAATTTGTAGATCATAATGCTGGTCAACTTTACGTAATTCCAAACAATTACAGAATTTTTGCAAAATCATTTTTTATCTAATAATAGAACAACTTACCTGACAATGTAACTTACGTTATAAGTTACAATGCAAGTTACATACACCCTATGTAACTTACAAATATATAGTATAAAGCTGATCAAGATTATAATAAAGTTGGCTAGCATTAAGATATAGGACATGGCATACCATCTTTTTTAATCCTTGGTGTGGTAGAATAACACAACACATAACGCAGTTGCCCAAGAAATAGAATTGGAAACATTAAACAAATAAAAGCTAACAAAGTCTTGGCTTTTGCTAATAGTAAAAAAAAAATATATTTGAAAATTATATTTCTCAATTTCAGCATCCCTGGATGCTTAGATAAGACGTGATGATCGATATGGGTCAGATTATAAGATCGGAGCATGTGAAAAATATTGTAAAATATAATTCTCAACTCTAATTACAGTTATTGATTGCATTTATCTTATCTATAATATTATCGAATTTTTTTTTAAAACAAATTATAACTTACTTAAGTTACATGTAAGTTACGTTCCAAAATAAAAACTTACGTCAGTTAAAATAACTTACTTTTATCACAAGATTTCCCGGCACGTGACCCTAGCCAATTAGATTGAAGGAGCAGGTGTAACGTGACAATCACGTCTTTTTAAAAAAATCGAAATTTTACCTATGAAACTCCCTTCTGCGTTCTAATAAAAAAAATTCCTCGTGAAATTTTAGTGTAAACTATAATCATCCTTATATTTAATCCTAACTCTAAAGATGATGCTTATTACTTTAAAATCTTTCGCTTAATTCGATTGTTTTGATTTTACGTTACACCCGATCCTTCGATCTAATTGGCAATAAATCATGTGCCGTAAAAAATTCTTGTGGGTGAGCTACTAATGTCGTATAGCTCGATTTATACGTAAATTCCCTATTATATAGTATTTTTTATTGTAAATATTTTAAATAAATTAGTTAATTTAGCAAATAAAAAGTTTCATATATAATTACTAATAAAAAAATTTAAACCAAATTAGAATGTGAACTGTTCGATATTATAAAAGGATGGGACAAAATCAATTGCAATACCGGATACATAAATTATGGGAAACAGAATAAAAAAACGTGGGATTGCATCATTTTCATGCGTCACATCCATACTTAGATATGAAGTATGTACATAACCGGCACCTAAATACTGAAATATGAAACTTAAATACTATTATTTCTTTTATACGTATTTTTCAAAAAAAATTTTGAATTCACTCTGATAGACTATCCAATTGAATGAAACCACCGCATCTGATTCTGATCATACCAGATTAAGTTATTGAAAATGAACTCATGATTTTTTTTTCAAAATGAAAAACTTTGAAACGTACATATTCATGATTCTTTTGCCAATGATTATTACTTTTATGATATTAGATATAATAAAAAGATTCGCTTTGTTAAATGATTTGTGCGAACACTTCTTAATAACGAAAACGATAATTGCGGGTATACCTTGTTATATTCTGATCGCCACATCTTTCATATCATTTTGGAAATGTTTTCAATGGTTTCGCCTAACAATTGCCAAGTAAGTTGATTATCTTTATCTTTTTTATCGTGATTAAAAAAAACCATAATAAATAAATATTTATATATGTATATTAAAAAGTTATTAAATTTATTCTTAAATTCGATAAGGATGCATCACCAATATGGTGACAAACTGTCAACATGCCATCACAGAGTACTTAGCGTTAGTGCACAACCGACATTGGGATATCAGCCTTTATCAGCAGTTCCTAGACGAATACAACTATCTTTTATAAACGATAAATCTCCTTCACGAATTATAAAAACAAAACAAGGTTGCGAAATAAAATTGAAACGTATGACTGAAAGTGAAAAATATATTCGTAAATCTGGTATTGCAAATGCGTAGTTTAATAAAAGATTATTGTAATAATACAATAAAAATATAATAATAAGTAGTATTATTACATTTAATAATAATAATATATATATATATCAATATAGCTCTTTCATCGTATGAAGCAGTCAGGCCTACAATAAGCTCTTGGCTTCGTCCAAACCGAATGGTTGAAATTGGAAACCGTAATTTGGTATTAGTTCCATCTGAAAGATATCTTACTAATGGAAAAGTAGATTGTGGCTTAAATAAACAAGTAAGGAACACGTGTTCTGCTTTCTTGATTTATGACATTTTTATTAACACATGTATCGAAATGTGTGTGCATACGTATCGGTATACGTATATATGCACATATAGCAAAAGTTAAAAGTCTTATTCGCAGCAGGTAATCGTTTAGAAAATAACGATTGCATAAACAAGCAAAAAAATTTTTAGCGTTGGTTACTCCCTTTGTACAATATTACCAGACTTAGTTGTAGAAAACAAATTCTTGTATATATATGTCATTCCTGAAGTTGACATTTGCAACTTCAAATAAATATGTTATATATCTTACGCAATAACAAATTAGTGATTTTAATTATATGCATTTGCAAGTGTAGATATATCTGAAAACGCAAATCGCACCAGTGGTGTTCAACATCACATATATTTTTTAATAATTTTGCTATAGTAAAAATATAGGTTTAACCATTTTTACTCATTACATCTGAGTATTGGTTATTTAGCTAGTTCTTGAGACATAGCAACTGTGGTGTTGAACACCACTGGTGCGATTTAGTAAAACCGAATAAATGATTTTTGAACTTATACGAGTGACCCAACCTAAATTTCCAAATGAGATCAAAAAGTTTTTTAAGAGAAGAATCGTATAAAAAATAGTAAAAATTATTAAAAGCTAATATGATTTTTCTCTAGTGTTGGAGTGTTAGCTTACGATGAAAACTTTTTTATAATAAATAAACTTCTCTCGGGTTTCTTACAAGTTATTCCAAAATTGGTTTAATAGATCGTAATTTTCTTTTCGTAGCTATAGTATTTTTACTTCCAACGTTATGTGAAAGTAATAGTAATTCTTCGTCGACTTTTACCAGACAACAACCTAAGCTTATCACTTCTATTAATATTCAATCATCCATACTGCTAAAGTTCTAATGCTAATATCTGTCTATAATTTGATGATTATCTCTGCTAAAGCAGTGATCGTATTTATAAGTGGAAACATGTATTACTAAGCCTTAATATTTGTCTGTTTACGCCCAGGGGCGTTATTTTGAATAATGGCTCGAATTACGCTTAACTTAGGCCAAAAATCGAAATTACACACCTGCGCGTTATTTCGCATCTATGCAGTACTTTAAATAGGGAGATAAGCTTTTATGTCATATGCTAGAGGACATGGTTATAATCGCTACCTAATTTCTAATATACTAATTCCTAATATATTGTATAAGTCACTAAATTAATTAATAATACTACTGGAACTTTTACTACTAAAAAATTCCACCGGAAGGCTCTAAAATCCCATTGGAAGCAAGATTTGACAATACCGTTTCATGTAATTTGCTCAAATGGGTAAGTATTCATAAGCTTTTTTGATAGATATTAAAATTAACGTCCTTATTATACATATTACATGCTCTCCAGTTGCGTTAATTTGATTTCTTCTTATTCACATTGATTTAGTCAAAGAGTATAATAAATGGTTATTTCAACATACAGTATTTAAATAAGCCATTTATTTTTTATTTAATTACTGATTCAGCTGATAAGTATGAAATCTAATCGTTTAGTCTTATCAAGTTGAATAAATAATTCGATGAATTCGAAATATACATTCACCTTTTACTAATATCTGATTTATTCTGATTATAATCATTGGAATAAGCAAGAAAATTGGAGTCTGTGATTTGTAATCAATTCAGTAACCGTATATTCTGTCCACAAAAGGTTAATATCACGAAAAGTATCATGAAAACATGACAATCTTTGAAATATCTTTAAAATAATAATAAAACAAAGAGATTTGCTATTTACTTATAGCTAACTGGCATTGCATTATAATCAAGACTAACACTTGTGATCAGTGCTAATCATTAAACTGCTTATGCCTTCGTAGAATTCACTCAGGCCATAATATCTACTTTACAGCATATCTTCAGTACTTTAATACACCTTTGCATTCTCTTCAAACGTTTAATCTGGAAGGTTTGATATATTAAAACTGGTTTAATATCTTTTTCTTTCAATTTGTAATCTTGTGGCCTAGTTGATGTATTTAACAGATTAGTTCTTGTTTGGTTCATTTACTTGAATGTCTGTTTCTTAGAACTAGTGTTTATAATAATACTGTTAAAAGTCTTTGTTACTTTTTTATTTAGATCTTTCTAAGTAGGTTTTTATTTTTTTAGTTTCTTAAATTTATATAATTATGTAAGCTTATTAAGAATTTGCACTGTTTGTATTAGTTTGCATTCTTTTGTATAATTTTGATATTATACAAATATTTATAATCTTTTAATCATATTAGTATAACTATAGTTACAAGTATTTTATTTTAACTAATTAATAAAACCAATTATTATATTATACATAAAATTTTTTAAATATTTTTTTTTTTTTAAATATTAAGATGAGTACTTGTGATCCAGGATTTTATTGATAGTATATTTGGCTAATGGTTGCATTACAACCATAGGAGGCAACTATAGAAAGAGTGTACAACTAGCCACTTATACAACTTTAGTCATTGTCTAATTTAAGTAGTTCACCTAAAGGTTCTACACTAGTTGCTATACCTAGAACCTGCCTGTAAGTTCCCTATTTAACCATTCTAGTTTCTATATCTACCCACCTACCTTTGTCTACCAATGATCCTGGCTGATGCTAGTGAAAATATATCATAGACCTTGTACTAAACCTTCTAGAATCTTCTGTATCTCATTCTTACAGCTAACCTAATATCATTATGATTGAGACCAACACTGGTGGTCAGAGTGTATCATTAAACCAATATGCTCTTGTAGAGTTTATCTCAATTCTGGTATTAATTTCACAACATATCTTTACTATTTTAGTATTCAATTCAAGTTTTATTAAGCTCTCAAACCAGATAGCTTAGAAAGATAGGTCATAACTATATATTTCTAGTTTACATGTTTGTCAACATGTAATTTTTTTCTTCAAAACAGATCCTGGCAGCCTGGTTGGTTCTATTTGGCCCCTTCTTAAAGGTCAGCTCTTTGCCTAGTTTCATAAGTTCTAGCTCTGTTTTATAGGTTTAATCTTTACAATAGCATTATCAAAGGTTTGAGTTATCTTTCTACTCAGGTCTTTTAAGTAGGTTTCTATCTTCTTACCTGGATCCTGTGATTTATATGACCTAAAGACTTATCTTAGGTTCATACCACCTGATACCAGTTTGTGTTCCTTTATACAATGTTGCACAAATGCCTAGATCTTTCAGTCATACTAGTATAACATGAGTTACAGGTATCTTATTCCAACCAATTACAGAAAACAGTTAACTATAACACAAAAAAAATTACAAATTTTCACTGTTATTGGGATTTGAACTCTAGACTTGCTACTTGGAAGTTGACAACCTATCTACTTCACTAGGTTGTCACATCCTATTTTTTAAATATTATTATTATTAAGATTCAAACTTTTAATATATTATTTATAAAATATAATTTTTTTTTATATTAAACTAGTCTTTTAGAGTTGGAATTTTTTATTTAGTATTATAAAATAAAAGAACTTATAATTAAAGTTTAATAAAACTATTTTTATATTAGAAAATACAATTAGTCACATATATGCTTTTAATATCTAATTTAAATAATCTGTCTATAGTTTTATACTAGCTATTATACTTGCAATCTAAATATATATATTATTTATTTAAATCTTCTATATTGCAATTCTTATTATATTACTAAAATATCTTTAGTATATAGCACAGATCAAACAAATAAATAAAAAGTTAATAATAAATAAGATTACACAAATTTAATATTTTGGTTTTTATAATATAAAACTTTTGATCAAACCTGCTTAGTTAGCTTTTTTTTATATAAATTTTATAGAATTTTAAAAAAAAATTTTTAAAAATCTATATAATTATTAAAACATATAAAAAAATTTTTTATAAACTTTTAAATTTTGATCTAGTCAAGTTATAAAACTAATTAATTAATTTTGTATAACCTAAATAATAAAAAAAATTTTTTTATTATTTTATTTTATATTTACTAAATAATGACAGTATTTAATAGGTTTTTTTTTTTCAGTATTAAGATGACCTCTTTGATCATAACTTTTTATTAATACTTATATCAGATACATGTTTTATATAGACATATCTATAATAAACTATTAGACAAGTATATAACTGGCTATATATGTAATGTTTCTATATTATCTATTTAAGGAGTCTACTCAAAGATTCTTTATCAGTTACTATACCTAACATCTCTGCTTAGATGTTTTATTTAAACCTTCTGATTTGATACTGGTATTAATTTTACCAGATCACAGACTTAGATCTATTTACTTTTAACTATAAAACTATAATTCTTAGACTATTTTTATTCTCAAGATAAACTTATTAGAGCAAGCTGTATTCTTTTTTACCACTAACCTGGTTTAACACTATAGCCGAGATCAATACTTGCAGTTAGGCTTACTTCTTAAACCACTATTACTCTTATAAAGTTCACTCAAACACTGATACTTATCTTTCTGACTTCTTCTTCTTCATCCCTTACTAGCCACAACTCAGAACTAACTGACTTCTCAAACTTTCAATCCAAATGGCCTGGTATAGTATACTTATATATTTTTTTCTTCTGACAATTCCGACAGCCTAGTTGGTCATATGCTCCTCTATACATCTTGTTATTTAATTTATTTAATAGTTTTTATGAATGTGTTTTATAGGCTTCCATTAGTCCAATGGCACTATCGAAAGTTTGTGCTATCTCTTTACTCAGAATTTTCAAATAGGTTTCCATCTCCTCAGATTCTTAGCTTTCTATACTTAGTAGTTTTATTACAAGTTTGTATTGAAGCCTTATATGATACTGGTTTTTCACATTTTTCTATATATATGTAATATTATACTTCACATAGATGCTCTAAACTTCCAATGTCAGATAGGGCCTAATTTGATGTACCTAAGATTACAAATGCCCAAAATCCAACAGTATATAATAGTATAATAGCAAAATAATAATAAAATAACAGAAAATATATTGATATTAATAATATAATAATAATATATTAGTAAAATAATAAAATAGTTCTATTATTTTATTTTATTTTATTTTTTTAATATTAGTAATAAAATTATACTTCTATCTTTATTAAATATTTAATTGAGATTTTATATAAAGCATAATTCTGCTTTTAAAATATTATAGAAAGAATAA